CCTACCTGTTAGACGTTATTACAGTGTTACTATCTTCATTCGGGTTTGAAGGCCGCCGTAGTTTGGAACTGTATCATAAAGTTTCGTCGGCATGAGTGGCTGGCTTTTTCAGAGGTGTATTTATATTGATGATTCACTGATGACTGGTGATTTCCAGTTCGTAAGTTGTATTGATGTTGTAGTCCGCCTCACTTGTTGATGTGTTGCTATTGGCCGAAGTGGTATTATCTGTTGCTGACATTGCGGGGTTGCCACTTTAGCATCTTCAGTATGTTATTCGCTTAACATGATGATATACACTACCTTGCACTGACGAGTGGCCAAACAGCACTAAACCGATCTGCAAGTGTTTTCCAATATTTAAAAATCGACTCCGACAGTTGTATCGCCAACAGCACATGCAGGAATAACTTCAGTGGAGAATCCTACTCTGAGACCTGTCGGATTTAATCCAACGCCCTTCGTAGTATTAGTCAGGCGAGTAGTTGTTTTCTGATAGATGTCAGTCCATTATACCATAGTGTAGGTGATTTGACACTGGCCTGAACGAATTGTTCTTTTAGATAATTTGATTTAAAGCCAGTCTCCAAGTATGCCCTCTCATTTTGTGAGGTTTTCTCTCTTATACGAGGATTTGAAAAAAATTCGGATATGCGGTTGGTTATCTCTTTTATAGGCAGATTGTGATTTGACAAACATGTTGTTTGTTATTCGCTTTTGCCTAGTTCGACGAATGATACTCTGGAAGGAATTCGGCTCCCAATTTTTCTCACAATATAACCTTGGAGCCAAGTGATATTCTAGTCAGCTGCGAAAAAAAAATCCAATTTTTCTCATTCAGATATATTTGGAATATTATTGTTTCGTTTTTCCCCACAGGTTTACCAATAATTGACCGCACTGAACAAAAATCAAACTCAATTTTATTTCACTTTGAACACAACAGAATACTTTGAATGAAACTACAACTATTATTCAAATGTTCATCGCCTTATTAGATCGCTCCGTGAACATCAAACATTCGCGAAAACTTGGTCGGACTGGGCGCGCTCTCAGCCACGTCAGAACTGGTTTATGGCTACCAGTGGCGGCCGGAGTTATTTTCTTCAAGGCATGATTTACAACACTATTCCCTTCCTTAAGGTTGTTCGCCCCATGTAAGGACTCGGTGGACAACTTCAGACTTGTTTCTGACCAGATTGGTAATCTTTCCGGTTACCATGTGAGCTCCTTGCCATGGTCTCTGTAATTTGGGACACGAACCTTTCCGGTGTTGGAATCGGTAGAGCAACATTACATCGCCCAACTAAAAGCTCACTGGCAGCGACATTTTGTCAAATTCCATCTCCATTCTGTCGCTGAGAAGCTGTAATTTGGTTCTGGCAAATTCAGACTGCGGGGGTGAAGCACTTGTTCTTGTCTTTTTTATTTCCGGCAATATCATCATCTCCTCCATTAAATCCAATTCGAACTTGCGATCCTGATTCGAGTGTAGTTCATGGGATACCCCGCAACAGTACTTTTGCCACCGTTTCTGCCTCTCTGTTGAGTGAGGCTACTACTTCAAGCTTATGGAGAAATGGTCCATCACAACCATAAGGTACTTGTTACCGGATGTAGTCATAGAAAATGGTCCCAGAATGCGATTCTCTCGAAAGAGCACCCATTGAGGTAGTGCTTCAACCTCCCTCTTTGCCTTGTCTTCACACCCTTTTTCGAAGAGCACAGATCACAGCGCTTACACCACTCTTTCACGTCTCGACGGCAATTGGTCCAATGGTACGCACTCTCGCTAGAGATTTTTCACTCCGACATTCCTTTCAGTGCGATCATCGTGGAGCTGTTTGAGTATATTCGGGATACATATCTTTGGAAGAATAATTTGGAATTTGTGGGTTCTGCTCCGGGCTTTCCTATTTCCAAGTGAATAGGTCATCTCGAATGCATATGGAATTCCTTTGGAGCCAGTTACCATTTTCTTGCTGGCCGTGCTTTGAGGTCTCTTGCAATTTGGGCCTCACCCCTTTGTCAATCCATTCTCGTACAGTTTTCACGACTAAATCCTCCTCCTGCGCTACAATGATCTCTTGCCTCGTCATGAAGGTAGTGTCACCCTTAGAGGCTTTCAATGATTTTACCACACTATGGTCAGGTGATTCCACAGATTTCCTGTCCTTCCTGAACAAGGAGTACTGATGGAGATTGCTTCTCTCTGGGTAAGAGCGAACCTGATGCAGCGGTCTGGTGGAAAGTTTTTCTTCTAGTAGTTGGATATCCTTTTCCTTCTAGCGTTGACAAAATTTACATCCGGATGTCAGGCATGATCTTCTGAAGAGGCTATTTGCATTTTCCTGACTCCTTCCTTTCCTATGTTGAATTTCAAAATCGTAAGTTTGTAATTTTCCGATCCACCTGGCCATTTGTCCTTCTGAGGTTTTGAAGTTGAAGACCCATCGAAGTGTTGAGTGGTCTGACTTAATCAATAATTTATGGCCATATAAAAAGTATCTTTGACCACTGCGATGGGTTCTGTAATTTCTTTCTGATGTCCCCAGGGACTCACTGAAATAACTGATGATTACTTCTTCTACTTCTTGTACCTGAGATAGTACTTCTCCTATTCCATGTCGAAATGTATAAACAAGCCATTATGCTTTGGGTATGCCAGGATTGGTGCGCAGTTTGCATGTCTCTTCAGGGCAGTAAGTGCTTGCTGGCAGTCTGGCGACCAAACGAAGTGGATTCTCCCCAAATCCTTCACCGAAAAATGGTAATAGCTATAGAGTCCAAGGAAGCTTTTTACGTCATGCTTGTTCTTTGGCGTTGTGTACTTCCTTGATTTTGTCCGGATCTGTGTCAACTCCCTTTGAAGACTTGAGACTGTTTGGAACCTTTGGTATAGTGATGAATATTACTGGAGTGTAATCCCAACACACCGTTATTTTCAAGAGGAAGAATAATCAAAAGGTAATCTTCTCTTCATCCTAGAAATGAACGGCCACCTGCCGTTCGTCTGGAATCAGAAATATGTCATTCAATTTGTTAATATAATTTTTGAATTTGTTGCATTTTCGAGGTTTCGATTTGAATAATTATTGTATGTGACCTTCGAGGTCGCAGTTCGTTACATAATTGCTGTTTTAAATATAGGAAAGATGTAACGGATGCCCCAAAAAAAGATGCTAGATGCTAATTCTGGAAGATCGTCAACGACAACAAAGGTGTGGTTGTCAACGACGAAGAGAGGGAAGTGTCATTAATGAAAGACCCTTGGAGAGAGAGAATACAATGAAATAATGTAACTTCTTGAGCAACCCTGTTACTGTATATTAGAAGGGGTGGTCGAAGAAGTTGCAAATGGGCCTAGGTAACACCTTTGGGGTGATAATCAGAGACGGTAATTTGCCAAAAGAGCACACGTTTTTCGATAAAGGCCAGTCTAGCCTTGCCCACATATTATTCGTTGTGATGCATTTGGTAGTAGCAGACGGAGTTGATCCGTTTCAAAGATAAGAAAAATATACCAAAAATGTAATATATCAGGTGGTCTTCAACATGATCGTTGATTTAAAATAATGAATGATGGCTACCATAGTTATGGAATATAATGGAAACTTCAAATTGTTTTTTGAAGGTTACATTACATGGAACTTGATAGGCGAATCTCATCAACTGACCTGTGAAGAGACAGTGATCATGTACGATAACGTCTTTCTTGGAAAAGGGTTTCTCACAAATATGACATGTCGTTGCGGCACCGATATTATTTGAATCGACTATAATGGGTATGATTTTTTCCATCTTGGAAGAAACAAAGAACCAATCCATGCAATCCTGACCTGGATAGCTATTGAAGCAAGAGAGGCTGTCATCAAAGGAACATTTGAAGTGATTCCCTGCACTATAGACCTTATGTTGTTGGTATTTTGAAGTAGTACAGTAGCGGTCAGTGTTGAACGCTCAAGCTGAAACTGCACACACATTCAAGGGCATATGTCATATCAAGCTACGTTATTAGTTTCAGGAGGTCATTCGAGCGCTTTCACCTATCCCCGCTCGAATGACCTATAAATAGTTATCTTGCGGAGAAATAGGCTAGTCTATCGATTTTAAAGTCAATATGACAAAAAAGTTTTCAATCTGTTGAACAAAAGTATTCAATATTTGTGTTATCTAATATATATTCATTGGTTTCCAGGCTTTCGAAAATGTAATGGCTATAGGAGATAAGTACCCCATCAGCATATCAGGCACTGATTGCTTGTGTTTCACTAACGACAATGTATCTACTAATTTTTCGAATGAATTCGATAACATATCCCATAGGAAACAATGTCTTGTGAGTTTTCAATCAACTTCATTGTGTGAATGTATCNTAAATTGCCATTTCCAGTACTGAGTTTCATAACAAAAATTTCCAAATAATTGAGAAATACCTAGTAAAAATAATTTTCCAACAGCCCTTATTCGAAAAATAATCACAGAAATGAGTTTCTCCTCCCAAAATACAAGAGTCAACACCAAATATAAAAAACACTAAAAGTAATGACGATGGCCTATTTCAATTTATTCAGTAAAATCCCCCTTTTTTTCACTCTCATGTTTTCTGTCATTGATGAAGACAGACATCACCTCATCATTACCATGGAAAAAGATATTCATTTGTTTCTCTCTGTATAGTGTTATTATTATTTCGAAAATTTCATTATTTGGGGGTTTCTTATTCCATTATGTAATTAGTATAACTGATTTTTTTTTGATAGTTATATTTTCAATACGATAAAATTACTTTCCGGTGAGTAATTTTATTGAGAATTCATTATTCCTCGTTGAATATAATATGGTTATGAGTTAAGTTTAGTGGGAGGTATATTTGTTGAAATCTATTGTTAGAGAAGAATTTAGTTGAATTTGGAATAACGTTGGCAGGACTCCGAATATTCGAAAGAAATTTTATCCTGTTACCCAATTTATCCTTGGAAAATAAATGTTTTTTCCAGATTCGACTGTTCATCAGTGACTTTGCTGTTTTGATAGCGATACTTATTATGACAATTTTGGACTTCAACATTAGTATACCTACCCCAAAGCTAGAGGTTCCACATGAATTTAAACCAACTTTACCGAACAGAGGCTGGATCGTCCCTCCTTTCAAAAACAACCCTTACTGGTGTATACCACTTGCAATTGTCCCAGCACTCCTTGGGACGATCGTAATATTCATGGATCAGCAGATTTCCATTGTGATAGTGAACAGAAAGGAGTTCAAACTGAGAAAAGGTAATGATATTTTCTCGATCATCCTGGAAAACAATGTCCATAATTACGGCTGTTCATCATTGTGAATCATCCCCTAAGCAAGATAACGCGGTCGCAGCTGACCTTTGTAAATCAATGACATGGCTAGTATCGCACCCAGGCCGGCCGACGTTTCGTGTTAGTTCAAGTTTTCGCAGCGTTTTGATGGAATTCTAGCGAATTCCCTATTGTTTTCGAGTTGCTTCGATAACGATATATAGACGCTACCCACTCACATATCGATATAGTAAAGTTCAATGGACGGTACGCTACAGAGCGATCTTATCAGGCGATAGACGTATAAATAATAGTTGAAGTTCTATGTTCACCATATTCATCTTCAGATTTTTGACATATGAGATGCCACTTGTAATCTGCATATTTTCTTATACTCAGCTATTCCAAAAACGTTTCCGCCAATCGTTTAATGAACAGTTAGCTTAATGATTTCTTCTGAGAATTTTGAAGAAACCGATCACTTTTTCAGAGTGTAATGTCCCCTTGAAAGTGTACCATATGAATTGGGAATTATTCTACGTTCATCATCATGTTGACTAAACGCAGTTTTTGATTGTTCTTCACTGAATACGTTGTGAGCATAGGAATGGATAGTCTGTTGTGATATATTAGTGTTTTCAAACTATTTCAAACAAAATAATCCTCAAAAGTTATTTTTTTCATTAAATTCCCTACGACTGCTCCGGATTTTTTTGTGATGCCTATATTCTTGAATACCAAATTTATTCGTTTTCGTGTCACACCCGTTTTCATCAATTTTTGAAAGCATAAATTATTGAACGGAGACCAGCAAGCGTGAATTATTGAACGGATACCAGCAGAATGTGTAATTATTTTATCATTTGTCTCATCTTTCATTAAGATAGGTAGTTTTTTATTCATCAATGAAATATTATACTCTTTATTCTTCACATATTCCGAGATATCAAGTTTATCAATATGTTTTTCGATTATATCTCTATAAACATTATTTCAATTCAATTCCTAAATGGAATTATCCAACTCAACTTTGGATAACATAATATTATAATGAAAATCTCACATGCAAAGAAAATAAATGTCTGAAATATCTATGCCAATGTAAAGGGGTTTATTGAAAATCAATTGAAATCTCTTCAACACAATCACCATTAAATAATCGTCAAAAATTGTTCTACTATAGAAATGAGGACTGGAAATTGAATTTTTGGCTTCAAAACGACCTTCATAAGAATTAACTATAATAACTATGTAGCATTATATTCCCCCCTATTTTTTCGAACACTGCTTTATTAGCTAATTTAAATTTACACTGATTTTTCCATAAGTTACTTGTAGCNGCTTTGAAAAGAGTTCATCTGAAGAGTCTTTGTTCATTCAGTAGTTTGAGTTTGATTTCTTTTTTGAATTTGTGATATTTCATTTTTTTTTATTTCAATAAATAAACCATTCCAACGTTGTACGGCTACTAAAGTGGGAGATTTATGATAAGAAGCGGTCCTGTGAATTGGAAAGACAAAATTTGTGTTATAATGTCTAGTTCTGTGGGCATGATTGTTTATCTTGAGCTTTTTTTCGAGGTAGATTGGCTCGTTTTGATTTGAAATTTTGTGAATTAGAGTAGGTATAGAAATGAAGTTCCCGTCGTATCTCCATATGGAGTTCAGAATGGCTATTAAGGTACGGAGTAATGTATTCTCGAGATGGTATATTGAAGGAGTAACGCATACAGGAGTTTTGAACGTGTAGAATTTGCTTGGCTGTAGATGCAGCAACATAATGTGTATATACTACATCAGCATAGTTGAATAAGCTGAGTATTGAGGTGTTTAAAGTTCATATTTTATACTGGGAGCGATAACATTTTTATAGTTATATAAGTATTTTAGTTTTTAGGAAATGTTTTTGGAGAAAGTTAGGGAGCTATCTAAATAAACGCCTAAATTTTTGACTACGTTCACTGGATTCATTATATCATTTGATAATTTCATCTGCATATTTGTTTGTTCTAAATACGAAAGTGCGCTTGAGGTGCCAATGAACAAAACTTGGGATTTACTTGGATTCATTTCCAAGCAGTGGGAGTCGGAATATCTTTTTATCTCTATGCTAGCTTGACTGAATGCATTGTTGGACAACATATACGCGGCTTCTTTGAATTTTCTTCTTAACCAGTGTTCCTCTTTGTGGATGAATTCAGCTTGAGCCCACTTGATGTCATGGTGATGAGTCCAAACATGTTCTGACTGCTATTCCGGATTTGCTGATTTCTCCTCGCGGTGTGTGTTTCTTGTGCTAAGCAATGCGAATTTTCAATGGACTCTTAGTTTCACCGATGTATGATTCTCCGCACTCGCAGGGTATCCGGTAAATGCAGTTCTTGGTGGCCTGGTTTTGATGAGGCTGCTACGGATAGTGTTCACAGATCTGAAGCAGGTCCTGATGTTATACTTGTACCCAATCCTTCTCATTCTTCCCGATAAACCTCTGATGTAGGAAAGTACAAGTACTGGTTGTGGCGGCTTCTCTTCTTTGTGGAGTTCTCGCTGTCTGTCTTAAGGCCAGTAGTAACCATTTCGTTGAAGGTCATTTTGGAAGATTCCTAATTCCTTTTCGAGACCGTCCTTTGCATTACAGAGTTCGAAAGCACATTCTCGTAGAGGCTTAATGATTCCTATCTCAGTCGATTGATGGTGATTAGATTTCTGGTTCAGATACTGTGCTGTGTGACTGAGTTTTCGATATACAGATGTTTCCCATTTACTGTCTGTCCTCTTCACCAATACGTCTAAGGAAGGCAATTCGCTGTGAACTTCCTTCTCCATTGTGAAAGTGATGGGAGGGAAAACTTACGTTGTTGATGTGCTTCAGGAAAGTGTCTGGTTCTGCATTCCCATGGTTCCATATTATGAAGGTGTCGTCTGCGCATCTCAACCAGACTTGAAACTTCTGGGCTTCTTCAATGGCCAGACTTATAAACTATTCCGTATATATATATTGGCTATAGCAGGTGAAAGTGGCGATCCCATAGGCAGTCCGCAAGATGAGAGAGAGAGAGAGAGATGCGGAAACGTCGTGACATAACTTGGTTTGGAATCTTTTAATTTTTTATTTTTGTTATTAGTTTTTTATTATTTTTTTAATTTTTCGGCTTTTATTAATATTTCAAAGTTTTATTTTATTGATTTTTGTTGTTGCTTGTACGTTATTTCTTTGTGATTTCAGTTTTTCCTTCAATAAAATTATTATTTTAAAAAAAAATTCAGGGATTTCAAATCATTTTATATCATATTAGACAATGGAAGTCGGAATTCTTTTTTGTAATACCATTAATTTTATGCGAAACAAAACTCAGGTTTGCAATGGTAAACAAGTCGTTGCCATCGACACTTTTCCAATTATTACATTTCGTAACAGCTAAACTTATTTTGAATATCTTTGGTAGTAATCCAGAAATAAAAGGTAACTTATGTTTCCTATGGTGTGCCTGCATTTATATTGGTGGGTTTGAATTAGTTGGTACAGGGGGTGTAACTTCATTTCAGAAATGTATTTCTGGATATTAACAATTTATATAGTTTTATTTCTGTCAAACTCTCGTACTCTCGTTGGTATCATATCTGACCACTCAAATAAATTGGCCAAGTCGACCGTATCCACAGTTTTTTCATTTGCTCTTACAACCCCGAAAAACCCTGAGAGAACGAGATACATTGTTTGACTAATACTGAAGACTGCCACCGTACCGGAACTCAAGAATCAGAGGAGTTTAGTTGAAGTAGTACTGAACAAAATCTTTGAGTTTCCTTGATAATTTCTGGAAATAGGATTTCACTCAGGAGTTACAAGGTTTAGTACATTGAATCTTAGGGTGAGACCCGGTATTGTGTTCATTTTCCTAATGAAACCACCACAAAAAATTGTAGAACTTTTCAGAATTCTTGATATAGTAACGGCTCAAATTCAATATCAAGTATTATTTTTTTTTTCAATTTCTTTGTATATTTCCACATCAGGGCTAGAGCAAACCTTTCAAGTAAACTGTATTTCTTGTTCAATTGGTATGTTTCTTCTGGAAACTTCTGTAGGTGGCTTCCGAATGAGATATTTTGATTTGGCAACCCTTATCAGCATTCAAAATTCAGTTTGTATAGAAAATCAAGAACTGACCTGCGCCCTTGCCTCCGCAAGTAGTTTACGTTTTACGGGTCACTTTGACGCCGAGTTCAGGTTACGGGTTGCCTCGGGTGCCAGCTTTCAGCGTGGTGTGCTCCACGTGCTCCGGGCATTGTCAGTGAAGAAAGTAATACACTAGAGGTCACTATGGTATGGTATTGACTAAATCAACTGTAGCCAGTACGGCAGGCTTAAATTGCCGTCCTGGATTCGAATCCTGGGTACTTGCTTCTTTCAGTTAGAAGTGAAATGAAACAAATAAATCAAACATTATCAAATTTATTTCTTTGTGATTTAAGTAGAGCATTTGACTGCGTTAATAATAAAAAACTTATTTCAAAATTAGAAATGTATGGTATAAGAGGGTTTTCTCTCAGTTGGCTGTTCATCTATTTCATGATATATCATAACACAATATAACATATTATATAAATGATAGTTCATTTTGTTTTAGGTTGTGGATACCATTTAGACCTTTTTGTTCTATCAATACTAATCGAAATATGTTCCATCCTTGGTCTTCCTTGGTACGTTGCTGCTACCGTGGAGTCAATAACTCATGTTAATTCATTGAAACAAGAGTCCGAATGTACCGCCCCAGGAGATAAACCAAAATTTTTAGGAGTTAGAGAACAAAGAGTCACGCATATTATGATCTTTCTCACGATTGGTTTGTCGGTGTTTCTGACACCGATATTAGGACACATACCGTTGCCAGTATTATTTGGAGTCTTTTTATATATGGGAATATCATCTTTGGAAGGACTGGAACTCTTTGATAGGATTTTGATTATGTTTATGCCGAATAAGTATCAACCGGATTATATGTTTCTCAGAAAGGTAAGGTTATTACCACCAAAAAGTTGTATTACAATTTAAGAAGGTTGGAATTAAAGCCAAATTTAGAATCACCAAAGAAAACGTCATAAATGGTTTCCGACGAGTTCTCCAGAAATAATTCACCAAAAAATAATCCATCCAAAAATAACTCAGTGAAAATCAATTCACGGATATGAATAAAATCATTTGATGAACTGTATGTAGCTTGGTTAGCTAAGATGATTGCATGGTTTTCAATATTTTCGTTTCAATCTAGTTTGTCTTGGTTGGTTATAGGTATGCATGTATCTTTATATTTGTGTTTCATTCTAGTTTTTCGGATGATGTATGCAACTTGGTAAGTTGTAGGATTAATGAACATAGTTCTAAATTTGTGTTACAATATGAAATGGTAAATTGTATGTGTTTTGGTTGATTGTTTTTTGTATACCTATTCACCAAAATGGCCTGGAATAGTAAAAATGTAAGAGAATATGAGAATAGAAATAATATCTATGAAACGTTAAATATCATCATTGGTAATAATCGTTACAGTGTTACTGAGAACCTTGTGACATATAGTTTTGTGGGAGAGTTACCTACTCGAAATACTCGTATATCTCACACATAACATTTGAATCCGCTACTAATAAGCAAATGAATGAAAAAAAACTATAAAAACATTAGACTTAAACCTTGAGTAAATTTGAATTTTAGCGAATATATTGAACTATCCACTCAGTTGTTGGAAAAAGGTTCAAGCCATATGATGTTTATTGAATTTACCCAGATATATTTCTCTCTTTTGAGTCAGCTTCGTCATTTCATATATTTTTGTTGTTTTTGGAACTTATGAAATAATATTAATCCATTTCACAACTTCACTTTTGTTGGTTCTTTTGGAATATTTTTTTTTCAAACCTTTCAACTCGTTCACTATGACATTAACAGTTTTAGTCCAAGTTCCCAGGGCCACCAGACATCACGTATTTTCTGACGAAGAAAATGTAGACGATTGAGTACTGTTAGTATGTAGGTACTAGGAAAGCATGACTACCTGCTAGCTTGCTTAGACGGCCAATTATCTGGTATCAGATAATCAAGGTACATAAATACATTACTTACCTCACGTAAATTCTCCAAGCTGATTTTTACGTATGTTTCAGACAGTATACCATTAAGAGAGTCATATATGAGAGTGAGTCCGACATGTATCAGGATGAATTGACTCCTCTCTCACACTCTCTTACAGTTTGCTCATATTATTTTATAATTGATAAAAAAAATCACGTAAATAATTGAAAATCAACTTTAACAAAATGCTCATTTGACTGCAATAATTCTAGAATTACATTGTACAAACTCTATTGATAAATTCGAAAAAACTTCAATTTTTTTAAAGAAATGTCAAAAACTTGATAGTCCTAACAAATATAACAAATAACAGCAATTTTTTTCAATTATTCATTTATTGGGAATTAGCCATAAAGAAATATAAAATAGAAAAATATTATTCTGTTAACATTTCTGAGTAGTGCCTTCATTATCAACCTCATTTAAATTAGACAATTCATCATCCAGCCAATCTTGATATTGAATATCTAAATCATTATTGTCATCATAATTATCCTCATTTTTTTCCACTTCCACTGTAAAAAACAATTCAAACAATGAAGATCTGAAAAAACTAAAGAGACAAAAAAATATGAGAAACAAAAATGAATTACCTAATTGTTTTTCCAGCGACTCACCGGCAAAACCCGGTTATTGATCTCCACCGAACCAATGAGAATCATATTTACCATGTTTTAATATCCAGCCATTATTTTCGGGTTTGAAAATATTTATCATCTTCATAGTTCCGTTGTTCCAAAGACTAGCATTATAGTCAGCCCGCCAGAACTGTTGCCAAAGCACACTTTTGCAAGGTGGTAAGTTTTTATAGTTTTTTCGATTGAATTCTTCATTGATGTCAAAAACCATATCATTTTTAATGAACAGTTGAAGTCTGGCAGCATCTACATCAATCATTCCAGGAACATTGTATACATCACAGATAAATGTTTGTGTTATGTTGAATACACGTTCTTCTTCATCTACATCACCAACAAAGTCCAAGGAACCAAAACGGTGAAATGTTTGTTGGTATTCGTCATTTTTCTTCAAAATATTAGACGTCCTTTGTTTGCCCTTTTTGAAAAATGCTATCCTACAATAGTATGGAATGCTGGTATACTTCGACACAACGACGATCGAATTGTAATAGTATTCAAGTCAACATACCTCTTGTTGTTACCAGTGCCGGTCAAAATCCAAACATAGGAATCACCATTTTTATGGTTGCTATATCTGTATCTGAGCATCGTATTACAAAATTAGCCTAGGCATCAATGTGGCATACATGGTACACGATCTTTGTATCAGCTTCTTCATGCACGATAAATCTTCGTGGATTTCAGAAATAACTATATTGTTAATCACGATGAAAGAGTGGCATTGTTGAAAATTTATATAAATGTTTTTTTTTGACAATGAATGGAATCATCTCATCAGTAGCCCAGTGTAGTACAAAAAATTCAACAAGAGACTGTTTGAAATGGATGTTCTTAATTCTCATACGAAATCTGATGAATGAACTTGATCTGGTCTACTAATGTTGAATTCTATTTGTGATGATTCATGTCGACGTGATCTTTCATAATCTTTCATAGGAGGGGAAAAATACTGGTCAAAAATGACATCTTATATCGTTGCTTTCAATTGAGTCAGCATTTGTATCATTTTCTTTTTAAATACTCCCAAATGTTTCACGCAAATTTTTCATGGTATGAAGCAAGAAAAAACCATCAATAATCAAAACATCAATGCAAGGAGGTGGATGTACGCCTTCTTCCAAAGATTTTATTAATACGGACTTTCGAGTCTTACAAATGCCACACTCGAAATGATACATGGACAATGGCATTGGAGTTATGGGGTATGATAAGATTTTGGACATATCCACTTTGTGATTGATCGATATATCCTGCATTTGCCCAAACAGATCTCTCTGAATACTTACTTCCTGCACCTTGCCGCCTACCTTCGTTTTTATTTTCTTATCAACATAATCTACAAAAAATTTTCTCGTGTTACTTTTTTCATGCTTTTTTCAAATCTATTTTCATCCATTTTACATTCGGTAATAAATGTTTGACGCCGTATGTCACCAATTTTTTCAATATCAAAAAGAATTTTTTCTACCTTCTCTGAGGCCGCTTTTTCAGATAAAATATTTAGTAAAATATTTTGTGGTATTTCAGCACTGAACGGAATGATAAATTGGTTAAATGTGTCAGCAAATTGTTGCAATTGCTTGCTATTATTTTTCATTTTATGATTTGATAACTCTGCTGTCACATCTTGTTCTTTTTGCGAATTTAAATTATTGTTTACACTACTGATTTCAGTTGATCATGACTTAGAGCCAATCGTTGACGTTCTGAAATGGAATTGGTAAATTGTATCATGCCTGAAAAAATATAAATTTTACAATGTTAAAAATTATGCTTGAAATTTTTATTCAATGGAAAGTTATCATAAATTCATGTAAATGTTTATGTTTGTTGTAAATTAATTGTTCTTGGAGTTTCATTACCTGGCGGCATCTGCACTGATTGTTCCAGTACCAAGTCAATTGGTTGCTTTGAGAAAGGTTTATTAGTTCTTTGAATGCTAAAAAACCATTCTGAACTGTTCAAACAAGTCAGGATGGCTTTGGGTAGCCTTTTGTAAATTGTCACTGTATTTAATTGTCTAACGATCATAATTCTGTTGATTGCCCTTGAAAAATAAATTTGTAATTTTTGGCAGTACAAATTTAAATAGTTCAAAATCTCCATTGCGGATGCTTCTTGACAAAGTTAGATAATAATGAACGAGTTTAATATAAATTGAGTAGAACTGTGGTGTTTTACTGAAATCTCCATTAAGGGTTTGCTGCTTATATATATTATATTTATTCAATGGATCATGAAGCTCTTCATTCTCAATTGTAAGTGTAGATATTGAAAAAGCTCTGAGACGTGTGATTTCATCGACAATTTGATCTGTAACCACTGTATTATTTATTTCCATGAATGACTTCAAATGTAAAATTTTCAACCCCATAGCCATCAAAGTATGAAGTCTTTTGCACCTATTGAAGTGTTTACCCTCAAGAAATCCATTTACAGAGCCTGACGCTCATAAATTACTCTGTACTATGACATTAGTTGAGCCACAATCCATGATAATTTTGCCTTTAGCTTTGAAGTAAGCCATCATTATATGAAACGCTCCCAAATGTATGAATAAATTGTTGAAGTTGGGTTTGTAGATAGCTTGCATTTAAAGGCTACTTTTGCAATCGCAAGTTTATAAGTGACTTGAATGGAAGGTAACGGTTCTCCACTAATTTCTGTTGATACGCACTCAAAAGGTCTCTGCCTCTTTTTTTCAAATTCAAAGTTACTTCATCATGAGTATTAGAGATATTTATCAATTCTGATTCATCTGGGGTGTTTGAATCAACATTTTGGTATATAATACCAACGGTATCATGAAAAATATCCCTACCAGATTCCATTTCCACAAAACGATCGAAATTGTTGAAAGCAACGCCGGTACAGGTAATTTTTTTATTATTTCAGGGCATGCACTTAATTTTTTCAGTGACGTTTATGTAGCTTCTGTATCGAGCTCTTCCACTCCTGGATAATGATACAATGCTCATATCAATGAATTATATCAATAATTTTTCGGCTATGCGTAAGACTATTTGAAACCACTCCAATCATAATGTGTTTTGGTGTTTTTATTTTTTCCATTGTTAATACCGTAGACGACGTCTTCACAGAATGACTTGATTTGACGGATACACTTACAATTATTTTTGAGTTTTCGATTATTGTCGGCTATCAAAGTGAAGTGAAACTGCTGTAGATCTTGTGGCACAGATATTTCTCCTTCCTCTAAATTTTTCGCAGTTATATATTGAGGTGATTTTTTCTTTTCACCTTGCAAGGCTGATTTTCTCAATAATAAAGACTTTCAAATGATTGCTTGTCAATAGCTACTAAATTTTTCGGTGCTAATAATATTTTATTCTGAATAGTAGAAAATTTTATTTCTATACCGAATTATTTCTCAATTTTAGATTCTTAAATGTGTGGTTTGAGGTCCCCACCAATTTCTTTATCATTATTCTCTTTACTTTCTTCTAATAATCCAATATAACACCGAAAAATATAAGTTAAGAAGTAACATCGTCCTTTATGAATTATATTTTCTTTGATAAAGGAATATATTTCTCCAAAAGCAGTTTGATGTTGTTGACGAAGATCATGACAATCAGTTTCACGTTTTTTTTTGTTTGATAAGGCTCCATAAGAGAAATTTTTTTGACAGATTTTATGATAATATATATTGGAATGAGAATAATTTAAAATTTCATTAATAAACTCCGGTTGATTTTAATTTTGTTATTTCACTTTTGATGAAAACCGGTATGGTCGGAGGAAATTAGAGGCAATCCTTCAGACTTATGCTTTTTGGTTTTTTGGTCACAGTATAAAAAAGTAAGACTGTTTGGAGTATTACTTACATCAGTATCAAACTCAATATAACTCTGTGACAAAGTAAATCAATATTTTCCAGGTGCTCAGTATGGTCTTCTACATTTGAAGAAACCGGTTCGAGTAACTCAGGTAAAATATATGGGCTTTGTTATAGGGTCAGGTTTGACAGTGGTTGTTGAATTAAAATCTTGAGAAGTATATGCTTCTAGCTCAATACTTCGTATGTCTAACTCAACTGTCGTTGAAGATTCTACAGATGAATTTTCAGCTATAATATCCCAAGGACATTGATAACTAACGAAATAATTTTATCAGTTTTCGAAAGCACGTTATTTGGTAACATCCCGACGCCGAAGGCGGAGGGATGTTACCTAAAATAACGTGCTTGAGGAAGTTGTGATAAAATTANGTTACTTTTATTATACTAGTCAGGTATTTATTATACAAGAACGAAAAAATTTCAAAATATTTC